CCTCACATTTGCAAACCTCCAGTCGACTGGGCCCTCCGCGGTGAGCCAGGACTGTGGATAAAGGATTGAAAGTGTCTTGGTGAGCACCTCCGCCAGCTCCCTCAGTGCCCTTGGGTGGATCCCATCCGGCCCCATAGACCTGTGTGTGTCCAGGTGGTGCAGCAGGTCGCTGACCATTTCCCCTTGGATTATGGGGGCTTCATTCTGGGCACAGTCATTATGCCCCTAAAAGGAAACATTTTATAACTATACCTTGTAAGTGCTTAGGAACTCACTTTGTAACAGCTGTGGATTTATAAATATTATTTTTTTGAGATTTTTATATTTTACATAAAAGCCTTAACTGTAATGAGTACGAGCAAAGGAATTTTTTACATTCATACTATAAAACATATGGTAAAAGCTAATGGAATTACAAGAAACTAATACTAAGCAATGAAGTTTAACTTAATTTATGATAATTAGGAGTTGGGTGCTTGTTAGCAACTGTCATGGTCAGTCATACTTTTTGGTCGTCCGTCCTTTATTTTGAGTCTCACTTAAAACCTCTGTTAAGTACCTCTGTTAAACTGCTGTTAAGTCCTTCACAGAAGGAACTCCATTTCTCTTCTGAAAATGGTCTGTTTCGTGTTTCTCCTGAAAAACAATTTTGAATTTTTTTCTTGCAACAACTTGTCTTTCTGTCTTTGTGATGTATGTGTGGTGTGATGATCCCTGAAAATTTAGGCTTCTTTTGGAAGAAGGGCATTTGTTGTTTGGGAATCTCCTTCTGACTTTGGATATTTATAAAACTCGTGGGTTGTTACAATGGGAAAAGCATGAGAAATTTTGACTGATTGAACGTATGTAGTATGTTACAGCTCTGTCCTTGTAATTTGTATTTTGCCTCTAGAGGAAAAGAGCAGTGGATTCCGGCTGAAGCCACCAATACTTATCCATGGTCAGGCACCTAGTGCAGGTGAGTTCTTGTTTTTTGCACCAGTACAAAGAAACCAGTTCAAGCATTTTATTTATTTGGGAGTTTCCTGAAACTGCCGTTGTAGCTGGAAGGTGGCAATACCTGTGTTTATGCAGAAAAACAATCTTGTATTCTCCAGAGTGGTTACGCCCATATCCACTGTGTAATGACCTGGATCAGTTACGCATTTCTGAAAGGTAGCTCCCAGTTGTCTCTGCTTAGCATGCCTCGATTCAATTCTTGGAGTACTCCTGGGCTCCACGATCTCCATTCCTTTGGTAGCAAACTGGAGCAAAAGGGGTGCTCCAGGAGCGCACTGAGCGCGTTCCAGCCGTCGATGGGCACGCGGTCTGGGACCAGGCTAGAGCCAAGTCTGAAATGCCGTTCGCTCCCGCTTCCTCCTCTCCCCGGCTTTTGAAGGCAGCGGGGATGTCAGGTCCGTGATCCTGCCTGTCCTGCTGTACAGTCTGGCTCTTACTGGGTGTCCTGTTTGCTGATGTAGACCTAGCCAGTATGCGAAAGACATTAACATTACAGCTTCTTAGGAGTTTCAGAGAACAAAACAAAACTATTTTGGCAATGGGAGTTTTTATTTATTTTTATATATATATATATATATATATGGAAACTGTTTCTTTTGTTTGCAGGAAGAGTAGTAAACTTAAAAAAAGAACAAGGTTTTTGAGCTGACATATGAATGTTTGAACTTAGGATAGTTGTTATTTCGGGTGTTGTCATGTCCTTTGAATATGGAGCTACTTGCAGAATATTCAGCTGAGTTGCTATGAGTAACTTCTGTTGCCATATTTCATTGGATCAAGAGTTCATCTTTGTTTTGTTCAGTGAAGAAAACTGGAGCTTCTGGGATTGCCATAACATTCTAGAGTTGATGTGAAGATTTTTTTTTTTTATTAGGTTGTTTAAGGTCAGTTGGCTTTTTGAATCAGAGCAGAATTAAAGAGTTGTAGTGCCATGTATCTTACTAGAGCAAACCAGAGGCCACATTAATTCAAAAAGCCAAAAAGTTGTTAAATGAGACAACGTGTAAGATTATTACACTAACAATACACTTGATTGTATGAAGGAAAAAAAAATAAAATCATTTACCAGTGTCTGGAAATAACTTCCTTGGAAGGAGAAAAGAAGACTTAGAATGTGTAGTTGAGTAATATGTCAGTGAATAAATAGGATTGCTTGTGTGCTGTTCATGTCTCTTACATTTTGACTTTTATTTCTGAATCATAAACTCTCCTTCTGTGCTTTCCTGGATAAAGCAGAGAATATATTTTAAAGTGTCTTTTAAGGCTAGGAATTTGTCTTCTCTATTTGGGGCTGGTTCTATTTTGAGGCTGAGTGAGGGATGGGAAAGAAGGGGGTGGAAGCTTTTTAAATGTCTGGTTTTCCACTGTATGTTCTGTTGGAAGCAGTTACAGAGAGGATTAGATGGAGTTGAATTTTTCAACTTTAAAGCTTTATCGCTCCTGAAAAAACTTTGTAATTGCAGGTCTCCCTAGCCAGAAACCGAAGGAACAGCAGCGAAGTGTGCTACGTCCAGCAGTATTACAGGCACCACAGCCCAAAGCTTTCTCGCAGATGGGTAAATAATGCTTTTGCTTTGTAGAATACCGCAGAGGGAGAAGAAAAATACAAAGTCTATTTAGTGTAGCGGTTTGTTTTTACTCAGTATCCACCTTTGTTTTGCTAGGTTTCTCTTTTCAGAAAAGAAACATCTTAAATGTTAAGTATAGCATATCTGTTGCATAAGGGATAACACAGTGGAACCTTCAGTTTTTGTGTAGGACGACTGTCTGACATTGCCAAGCCTCTAACTTTGGCCTAGTCCACGCTTGGTTTTTGGAATAAAAAGACTTTTAAGGGTGGCAGCGTTGACCATGGTGTAATAAACTACTGCGTATCAGTCGAACAGTAGTGATAGACTTCAGCTACCTGCACGGTGATGTAAAATGCCTGAATCACTCAGAGGTGCCTCCAGGCTTGGGGACCACGTTGGAGTTGGGACTTCGAGATACGCTTCTAATTCTTAGTTTGGTCATGTGTATTATGCTTATTGTATTGCTACGGAATTTGATATAGCTAATAGAAATAGGCATGATTGAAAACTGGAAGTTAAAGCAAAAAAACTGTTCCAGGTGTCCATGTCTCCTAAACTCCTGTGTTTTCCCAGCCCCCTGCCTTTGTTATTTGGAAGTTCAGTTGAACTGAAACAGAAGTAAATTCAGTTAATGCTGAATCTGGCGTAGAACCAAACGTTTCTAGCTCGATTTCTTGGCATGCCTGTTGGCACAGATTGGACTCTACAGAGGACTTAATCTTGGGGTACAAATTTTCAGTGGGAGTTCAGTAAGTAAGAAGCTAGATGAGTCCAAAGAGGAGCCCTGCTGGCTGTGAACAGTATTAGATTGGAGCAGGGCGGTTGCTTGAATTTGTATGTGTTGAAGTCCCTGCAGCGTTCGTGTAGATTAAGTGACTTTTTGCTGACTTGGTTTTCTGCATTTGGAATTTTGATTCTGCTAAGAATTACTGAATTCTGGTCCTCCTGGCTCTTGCAAAATGCTATGGGAACTCTGTATTTTACATTGCAATGTTTTGTGGACTTAAATAAGAAAACAGCATGCAGTTTGCTATGGAAAACTTACTACTTTTAGGACAATCTAAATATCTAGAGAATTGCTGTCATTTTCTCCTTCCTTATTGCAGTTCTCAGCAGTGGCACCAATGGTGTAAATATCCCACCAGATTCTGCAGCCACATCAGAATCACTAAGTAATGCAACGCTGAAAAGTTCCGACTCTGAAGAGAAGGTGAGTTGGAGAAGGACTGGGAGGACATGCAAGGTGACAGACTTTAAAATAGTATTCTCTGAACAGAGTCTATTTGTTTAGTAACGTGAGTGCAGTTCATCAGTGATAGCCCCCTTATCTATCCATGCTGTGGTAGTGCAGTTTAGCTGTAGTAGTAGGTTTTATACTGTCCTAATAGTATGCTATGTTTATCTTTGCTAACTTGAGAACTGTAACAAAGATTTACTGAACCCACAGTTTAGGATGGTTTTTCAGACCTATTTTCCCACACAAAATATAAAAAAATTGCTCAATTCTGCTTCTGCTCTCATTGGTTCCTCTTAGTCCCTCTAGCTTTATTTCTAGTCTTGCTGTAAAGTCTTACTGCTGCTGTCAGGTCAGAGACTAGGAAGCTGGCTGCTCACGGCTTGGATAAGTGCACTCTGCGCTGGGTTAAAAACTGGCTGGACGGCTGAGCCCAGAATGGAGTGAATGGTGGTGAATGGAGTCAAATCCAGTTGGCGGCCGGTCACCAGTGGTGTTCCCCAGGGCTCAGTGTTGGGGCCGGTCCTGTTCAATATCTTCATTGATGATCTGGATGAGGGGATCGAGGGCACCCTCAGTCAGTTTGCAGATGACACCAAGTTGGGTGGGAGTGTTGGTCTGCTGGAGGGTAGGAAGGCCCTACAGAGGGACTTGGCCAGGCTGGGTCGATGGGCCAAGGCCAACTGGGTGAGGGTCAACAAGGCTCAGGGCTGGGTCCTGCACTTGGGGCACCACAACCCCAGGCACCGCTGCAGGCGTGGGGAGGAGCGGCTGGGAGCTGCCCATGTTGCACGTGTTCAGTCTTCCTTCTCAGACTGCCTAGCAGAAAGCGATTCCCTGCCTATGAATAGTGGCTTTACTGTTGTTGTCTTGTTTTCTAACAGTTGAATGTGGATGATGTTGGGAAATGTAAGGATGGAAAGCATACGGGCAACTGAAGCGAATAAGTAACACATAAAGAAGCTTAGACACAGGAGCTGATAGTGGGTGAAAACCCAGAGGCAGCAAATAAATTCCCTACAGGAAGTGGTGGAGGGAGAGTGCAGGTAACAAGGGGTGAAAAGCTTCAGCTAGAGGAAGAGGCACCTAAGTGCATGAAAAGTTGTTTATTTGGTATCTTGAAAGGAAAGTAATGAAATAGTTCCTTCTCTGTTCTGTGCAAAGTGTATCCAGTCCTTTCCTTCCTGCAGGTATTGAGCTAACTGTTCGTGTCTTGAGATACGTTGACTGAGAGCATGAGGAGGATGTTTGGGGATTTTGAGGCTTTGTGGGGTTTGGGTGGCTTTTTAGGTTTGGTTTTTTTGGTAGCTTCATTAGACAGTGGGTTGCTTTTTGATGCCGTGTTGAGCATAGAAGTAGTGTTGTTAACAATGCGAGAGTATGCAATGGTTTACTTGAAATTCAAGTATCAATTAATTTTGAAATCTGAATATCTGAGCAGAAAGACTTCAAGTGTTGAATGGCTTTTTAAGGTTTAGTGAAAGACTACAGCCAAAATTAAGTAGCAATAAATAAATGCATTGCATGGATCAGTGTGAAGTTTTTGTGGGACATGCTTGTTACCTCTGTATGTCATTAGAGAGACCCTCTCTACATTTTTAACATCCAGAAGTCCTCTTGACTTTTTTTTTATCAAAGTCCAGAAATACTGACCTGGGAGGAAGTTTTCTGATAGAAGAAAGCTCTTAAATCTAGATGTTAAGGATCGCTGAAAGCTAAATATTAAATGGTATAAAGCTTCATAACTGAACATTTGCAATTTTACCAAGGAGTGTGGTGGGATAGTCTTCATTGTCTTGGCATTTGTAGTCAGGATGGACCATCTGCCTGAAGCTTTCTAGAACAGCGATAAGTAATGGGAGTTCATACAGTAGTTGTGTTAAATGCTGGAGTCTCTCTGCAGAGTATTAGATTGCTTGATAAGAGTGAATGGTTACTTCTGGAATTGTTTCATATTAGTAATTGTATGTGCAGATCTGTGGCATAGACTTAAGGTACCGCAGAGGGAAAGCTTCCTGGCGAGGGCGAGCACGTGGTATTTTGCAGTTATGTATGAGCCTGATCTTCCCTTGTTAGAGCAGATGTGAGTCATGGTCTTATTTTGCTGGCAGAAAAGATTTTTCTTTGAGGTCTCTGTCTTGTTCTTATACAAGGTAGCAGAGTGGGAATGTTCTCTATCTGGTGGTTGTCCTACGCTGAGCATCTCTGTGGTGACCTGCACCTATTTGGGCTAGGCTCTGTCTCTGTCTTGAAAATCCCCAGGAAACTGCAGGAGCCCTGAGCAACATAGTCCTTAGATGGGTACAGGCTACAGCCTTCTGCTCAACCTCCCTTGACCGGTGGGAGAGTCTGGTGGCTGAAAGTCATCAGATGTGCAGGGAAGCTTGACTGGCTGCTGTTGGAGCCTGCCATGCAGCCCTTGGCCTTTCTGGCAGCAGGGAGGTACTGATCCTTATCCAGAAGGAGGATGAGCTGTTAAGGAGATCCTAGGCTAATGATTTTTCCTTTTGTTCAACAGAATGCTCCTTTACCCTGTCTACACCATTCAGTGGTGGAGGACTACTCCCAGCAGGCAACACTGGCCCATTTCTGACTACCAGCAGAAAAAGGATGTCTTTGAAATGCCAGAATTAGAATCTGAAGGCAGATGATACGGCTAGGTTATGCAAAGGTTATGTCCCTTAAACATAAAATGAGATTTGCAAAACTCCTTTGGACCCAGTCCGGTGTTGCTGTCCCACTGCTCTTTCCCCTGTGCAATGTGTGTGGAAAGTGCCGTGGCTGGCAGCCCATCTGAAGCACCTGTAGACAGCACCACCCTGCCTGAGAAGCTAACAGGAGGAACTGGAGATCTGTGTGCAGTGGCAGTTCTGTAACCTTACTGGGATCGCAGATACAGGAAGTTCACTTGGACAACTGGAGTACTGCATTGGGTACATATGGGCTTTTTAGGAAATAAAGCAGGAAAGACAAGAAGGGGATGGGTTCTGCTGTGCTCAGAGAAGCTGCTTGAATGCAGAGGCTTTGGTTTGGGAAAGGTGCTGAGTTGGTCAAGGCTTTATAGGTTAAGATCAGAGGAGAAGCCAACAAGGAGGAGATTTAAGGTGAACCTTCACTAGAGTTGGACCGATCAGGAAGAGAAAGTAGCTAAAGCCCTTGGAGAACTAGAAGCTTTACAATTGCAGACCTTGGTTCTATAGGGGAACTTCAAGTACTTTGGCACCTGATAAAATATCCTGGTAGAAATACTCTTGGAGATTTTAGGAGTAAGTTGAGGACAGTTTTCTTGATGCAGGTGCTGGATAAGTTGACCAGGAAGGTATTCAGCTGGACCTGGTGTTCACAGCAAAGAACTGCTTAGAAATACAACGGTTGAGAGTAGCTGTGGTTGCAGCAGCTATGAGATGGAGTTTGAGATCCTGAGGGAAGCAGGGAAGATAAGTAGCAGAATAAAGACCCAAACTTCAGGAGAGAAGACTTCAGCTTGTTCATCGAGCTTGTTGGTAGGATCCTGAAGGACAGAAGGGGTCAGGAGAGCTTGCTATCTTTATGGTCAACCACCTCAGAGAATGAGTAGTTTATCCCAATGTGCTGGAAATTGTGCAAGTGTGGCAGGAGGCCAGCATGGATGAACTGGGAGCTCCTTACATCCAGAAAGGGAGCGTGCATAAGTTGGGAAAGAAGTTGAGGTGCCCAAGAGGTATACAAAAGGATTGCCTGGATGTGTGGGGAGAGAACTGGGAAAGCCAAAGCTTAGCTGGAGTTGGAAATGACCAGGGATGAAAGGGCTGCAAGAAGGACTTCTACTGGTACATTAGCAGCAAAGGCAAGATGAAGGAAAAATTTAGGCCTGCTGCCAAATGTTGGAGGAAACCTAGTGATGAAGGACATGAAAAAAATCTGAGGGAGTCAATGCCTGTGCCTTGGTTTTTACTGGAGAGGCCTGCTGTCAGGTCTGCCAGGTCTCGTTTCCTAGGGGAAGTTTGGGGGAGTGATTTATTACAGTAAATTCGCCTGAGGACCATCTAAGACAGTTTGACACGTACAAGTCCATGGGACCAGATAGGATGCATCCGTGGGTGCTGAGGGACCTGACTGGTGTTACTGTGAGACCACTGCCTGTTACCAAAGTGTTGTGGTACTGTGGGAGGTCCCTGTTACTGAGGAAGAAGAGAACATGGCACACATTTTCAAGAAGGGCAAGAAAGAGGATCCAGGAAAGTAGAAACTGCTCAGCCCCTTCCTCTCCCTTCCTAGTGAAGGAGTCCTAAGATATGAAGCACCTTAAAGTGACTGAGAACAGCCAGCACGGATAAAACATGGTGACCAACCTGATTTTTTTTTTCCCCTCTGAGGCGATTGGCTGTGCAGAGAGCAATACTTGTTGATTTTGACTTCAGCAAGGTCTTTGGCATGACAGTATCATCGTCATAGCCAAATTGGAGAGACGTACTGGTTGGGTGGAATTTAAAGGGGGTGGAAGATTAGCTGACCCAGTCAGCTTCGAGGGTAGCAGTCAGTGGTTCAAAGTCTGATGGGCAGGCAGTTACTAGAGGCATTCCTTTAGGGCTGATATTGAGGTCAGTACTATTTAATGTTTGCATAAACAACCTGGCAAGGTGGAGTGAATCTCGTTAAGTTTGTGGATGCCAGTAAACTGAGGGAAGGGGAAAACGGTCAATATGTTGGAAGGCAGGGCCGTTCAGAGGGATCTCAGCAGGCTGGAAAAATGAGCCAAAAGGAACCAACCGACAGTCAACAAATGCAAAGTCCTGTACCGGGGGTGAGGTAACCCACGTGCCATAAGGACTGGAGAGTGGCTGCCTAGAGAGCAGCTGTGCAGACAAGTGCTTGGAGATCCTGCTGTTGCATGAAGGGTGTTGAGACAAGTTCTTCTGTACAGAATTTATTAGCAGGGTCTAGAGGTGATAGTACTACTTCTAAGGGTGACAGTTATTTTATTTTGGAGGAGAGCAAAAGGGGAAAGAAAAGGGAAAACTTCCCATGGGCCAGCCAAGAAGACAAGTGACGGGTTCCCCAGACAGGCATCTTCCCCTGGGCGTCCTCTCCAGTGGAGCAGGTGGCACCCCATAATACTCTTCCTATAGTAACTACATAGTTTTCATCAGGATATCCTCAGACTTCCTGCTGGGGTTTTTTCTGCCTATGATGCTGTTAATGCTGATGGGAGCTTGCTCTGAGGGGCTGCTGCTGTGTGCTGACGAGTTGTTAGGTTTTGCGCATGCGTATCGTTGGGTCTCCTAACGAAAATCAAAAGCTACAGGGTAGGAAATCAGGAGAGGGGACGATTCCCATGCTGGTTGCAGTTGCTTCCCAACACCACTATAGGGGTTTGCAGGTGCAAGGCTGTGAGTGTAATGGGATGAGAACTGTAGTATAAGAATAATAGGAGAAAATACTGCCATGGCAGCTGCAGTGAAAGGTTACAGAGCCGCTAATGGAAAGCAGGCTGCAGAGGTGCAGTAGAAGGTCCTTAGCATGGCAAAAGGTTCAGGAACCTTGAGGTCCTGCGCAACAGTGATGAACAAGTTGAACATGAATGAGCCGTGCATCCTTTTACTGATTAAGACAATGTATTGGGCTGCTTTACTAAGACTGCAGCCATTAGGTTCAGAAAAGTGATTATTCCCCTTTAGTTGCCACTGGGGGGTGGCATCAGGAGTACTGTGTATAGTTTGGGGCTTGCCAGTACGTGGAAGATAGTTACAAAGCACCAAGGTGACTAGTGGCTGGAGCACGGGATGTCTGATGAGAGAGTGAAAAAGCTGAGAATGTTCTGCTTGGCTGAGGGGAGGGAATTGCGTTGTTCTCCTCAACTGTCTGGTGGTGGGCTGTAGCGAGATAGAATGAGACTTGGAAGTGCCTACCAAACAAATGAGAGGCTGCGAGTGTGGGGAAGGGGGATTCCAGTTGGGTATTGGGACCAAACTGTCATATTCTGTGTAGTCGAACCCTGAACCAGGCTACGCAAACTAAAACTGCCATCCTTGAATTTTTTGAAACTTGACTGTATGAGGTCACAGGTAGCCTAGCGTAATTTTGAAGTTGATGCTGCTTTGAGCACGCTTTGGACAAAATGATTGTTAGAGATCTCCTTGAACCTTAACTATTCTGTGATTCGTTAAGAAAGATGCTCTAAACAACAACAGAGGATTTCTTTAAATGTAAAATTTGCCTGGTAGCTCTGGAGATGTTATTGGCTTGTCACTGTAAATGACTGTGTGACTCTCCATGTCATAACGTGTGGTTTTTGTTTAAAGAAACTCGACTACCTAGGCTAAAGCTTTCAATTTCTTTTCTTTAGGCAGGAGAATGTCAGAAAAAAGAGTCCAACAATACTTCAGATGATGACAACTGTGAGAAGGTGGAACTAAATGCACAGCAAGCATTTGTATTTGGGCAAAACTTAAGGGACAGAGTTAAGGTAAGCACGTGTTCGTTATCTTGACTAAGAGTTGATGTGTTGAGGATAAGAAGCAGCGGAACAGATCGTTTGTTGGCGTGAGCATTACACGCTGTTTATGAAGTACTTTGAAGCCACTGTGTAACAGGGTTAAAACTTCCATTTATATATGCAAAATTAGAAGCTGTGAACACAGTTCAGTTCGCTGTTTAGTAAAACTGGTCCTCCAGACATCTAATAAATACTACTCTTCAGTAGCATAAGAAGCTTTTTCAAAAATAAACACATCTACTGCCATCATAGGTAACATCTAAAGCTCAGCGAGATGTAATGTTTTCTCTTACCTTTTGGGTCAGAATTAAGTTGAAATGTGTTCCTAAGATGCTCTCATGCCACCAAGATTTCACAGAAAAGGTGAGAGAAGAAACACAGGGCAGCCTGGGTTCAAACCTGTGCGTGGAGCAGTTGGGTTGCATTGTTAGTACCTCCTGTTGAAGACAGGTTTTGCGCAGGTTTCCCAGCATAACAAAAGAAAGTGTAACACTGGGACGTAGGCTTGTATTGTTTTGTTGTAGAAAGTGTTTGTGGATGGAACTTTGTCTTGGGAAAGAACGAGCTGAAAATTTTGTGGCCAGTAGTTAAAACTGCCAATATGTACGTGTTCTTTTTACAGCTAGGAGATGAAGGCGATGAAACTGCCGATGTGCAGAATGCTGGCCTTCCTACATCAGACGTACCTTCTGCAACAAATTATTTTCTACAGTACATCAGCTCCAGGTGAGACTACAGGGAAACCTATAGGGCAGTTTTCCTTATTTCTGTGTTCAAAATTGCTTGTGATTCTGCTCTTTATTGGATGCAGGGTTCATACTGGGTCGGTGGGAACCCAGGCTTCTGGAGGATGAGGTGGCAAACTTCCGATGTGAGGGAATCCTCATGTCAAGGGAGGTGCACTTGACACCATTTACTTGACCAGGTCTTCACCAAAGCCTCTTCAGAAAACAACTAACAAGCATAAGATGAGAGAAGTCTTCTCATGAACAATTAGAAAGAAACAGTGATGGAATAAATAGGAGCTACCAGTAGAAAGCTGTAGAGATCTGTGCTGTATTTGTGTTGTTCGATATGTTTCATATATGATAAGGATAAAGGAAAGAATAGTTTAAAAAAAAGGTTATTTGTTCATGATGATAAGCTTTTCAGAGCAGTATAGAGGGCCTGTATGAACAAGCAGGAACCTAACTGTGGGAGGGATTTGAGAGAATTTCAGGTGAGGCAATAGCATCAGAAGAAATGTGGTGTAGGTACACATAAAGTGAGGCAGCCAGGCGAAGACTGTGCTAATTCTATATATGCAGTGGTGAGCTCTGAACTGACAGCCTTCTGAGGCTAAGATGTCGATACTGCTTTATGAAAATGTTAGCGCAGTAGTGGTCAAAAAAATCAAGTAGTGTTACAGAGAGCAGAAAACAGAAGAGAATTTCTTAGTACACAGAGCTGTGAATTCCAGTAATAACTGGAAAAGCATGGGGCGAAAATGCCACCGAGAGCAACAGAGTAGCGCGACATCTCTGCTCCTGGAAGAACCTGAGCTGCAGATTGTTTGAGGCCATGAAATAGTTGTAGGAAAAGCACCAGTGTGTGCTTGCCTTGTCCTTATAGTCTGCATTTTTAAGACCCTGTTGTTCACCTGCACGGCCTTCACCACAAAGCAGGCACTAGGCAGTTTTGCAGTCTTAATCCCTTATGACATTGAGGTTTTCAGATGATGCACTGGAGAAGCAGAGAACACCCCGGAGTGACGGTGGATGCCAGGTTGATGCCTTTCCAGAGACTCTGTTGGATTTTTTAAATCAGATTTGGCAGAGAATAACTTCTAATATGTGGGCTTCAAATACTGGAGTATTTGTTTATATCTTTCAACCCGTATGACAGCTACTGCCATATTTCGATTGAGTCTTCACTTTGGGAGGATTTATTCATGGCAGGTCAGTTGCCAGAAACCTACTTTTGGGTTTGCCTTTAAAAAAAAATAAGCATCTCTAAGCGGAGGTGGCTCTGGTTTTTAGCTGTCTGAGATGGCAAGACATTATGGCAGTTGACTTGTAAAAGGAAAACTGCTCCCTTTGTGTAACACGCTGCCAGTCCTCTAAAAATTGTAAATGTACTCGGTCACGTGGCAGATACCGGTAGATCATACTGAGCTCCCAGTTGGCATTTGGAGCTCAGAACTGTGGTGTTTAATTCCCTTAGTAGGCAAAACTTTTCTTCCCCTGAGGATTTCCTCTGTTCTTTGAATCTCCTTAATCAGAAGTAGCAACTCTACATGCAGGATTTAAAGGTTTGGTTCCGCTTGAATAGTGTAGTGACATGTGTGCCCCCATGTTCCAGACTTAGTGAATGCACGTAGGCTTGATTTCAAATGGTCTGCATTCTGCACGTTGGCTTAGTAAGCGTGTTGATGTCTTCGAGCGGTATGCCGGACGGGAAGGCAGGTGAACAATGACTTGAGTCTGTAAAATAGTAGAACTATTGTCCTTCCTAAATGGGATTTAAAATCTGTTCCTAAAAATGCCACGTGGGAGGAGGATGCTTGTTCTGTAAGGAAGATGTGAGGGCTGAGATCTGATCGTGAAACTTCTTGGGGAGGCTGGAGCATTGCAGCCAGACTCATAAAAGGTATTACTTGTCCCTGCTGTCTCTGCTTCAGTTATGATATTGCAAGTGGTTTTGTTTCAATTCTTTCCCTTTCTTAGAAAATTGACCTAAAAATATGTAGTGGTTCAAGTTTGTGCATGTAGAATACTGTTAAAAAAAAAGTATGTTATATGATTAAACAGTAAGCCCTCACTTAGCAGTTAGCATGGCTTAATATGTAATTAGATCTACAAAGGGAAGATACTTACAGTGACAAAATCATCTGCCATCGTTCTGGGAGAATTCTCACTCTGTAAAACCAGCATATGCTCACATGTTACTAAGTCGAATTAATTTTTGCTTATGTTTCTGTGTCAACCAGTGCTTAGTTTTTAAAGCCAGTGCCAATCGCTCGCTTTCTGAGGAATTTTGTCAGTAGAAGATAAACAGATATTTTTCTGACTTACAAAACCTGTTTTGGTTTGGGTTTTTTCTTTTTTTCAGTGTAGAGAACTCTACAAACAGTGCAGATGCATCTAGCAACAAGTTTGTGTTTGGACAGAACATGAGTGAGCGAGTCCTAGTGAGTATCCACTGCGTATGAAATGCTGTAATTTTGTGAGTAGTTCGCGTTATGGATTCTCACTCAGGAATTTTGAGACCCTTTAATTGTCCTTGTCACTGGAGCATGGCTTGCTTTCGGTGGTTTCCCTTGTAGGTAACTTATTTTGAGTGCAGCGTGGGGGTTTAATTGTGAGCTATTGTCTGCAACAGCAGTTGCTCTCCAGGATTTCCCTGCCAAGCTCTGCTGGTGTAAGGAGGGTGCCTTCTCTGGAGTGCGTGTGGTTCGCAATTCCACGCAATTTATGGCACAGCTTGCTTCTTTAAATGGCTTCTTCCATATAAGTATTTGAGGGTGTTTTATGTTTGCTGTCCTCCAAATTGAGCAAAGGCCAGTTACCGGGCTCCCCCAGTGATGGGACTCCAAGCTCAGCAGTAAGGCAGCCGCCCCGGTACCGAGGTGTGATTCAGGAAATTCTGGTTATTGCGTAAGCTGTAACTTCTAGTGCCTCGCTGTTCCCTGCTGTTGTTTTTATTGCTACGCTGGTACAAAAGGGAAACACTTAATGCTCTCCATTCATACCTGTCTCGCCGCTGAGCAGGGAGTTCAGTCAGGTATGCCTTGGGTTGAACTGTAGCTGAAATTGGTTTGCTTTGTTGAACATAACTTCAAAATAAGGGTTGAAAATTGGTTTCAGTTCAGGGGAAATTAATTTGAACTTGTTTTCGGGTCATGCTCCATTCAGTTCCATGGCCAGGGTAGTAGGAGAGCTTTTACTGTGAAAGCATGTAATCTGTGGGATTCTTCTTTTGCCGCATGGTTTATAAACACTAGGGCTTCCCTCAGTGATTGATCACTAGTCTTGTTCTGCAAAATTTAGTGTATGCTACCTCTCTTCTGTTTACTTCCTCTTCTTTTTGCGATAGAGTCCACCAAAATCAAATGAAGGCAGTACAGAGAGTAATAAGGAGAACGCTGCTACAGAGTCTGGGTCTGAATCATCTTCTCAGGAAGCCACACCAGAGAAAGGTGAAAAACACAATATTATTTTTGGAACGGTAGATAATCCTTGTTTAAATAATTGCATTTTTCAATATCCTGTTACTTTATAAAACCAACATTTTTAGGTTGCCTTTACTGTCTGCTGTAACCGAAGATACAGGCTTGGGGTGGGAGGTGATGTGCTGGATGCTATAGATTCTCTTGTCCTTTTGTCTTTAATATTAAACATGTATAGGCTACATGTCTGTCCTCTGTGGTACTGGGAGTATCTTCAGCAGAATGAAAGTAGAGGGAATGAACAGAGCAGGTACTTGGACCTACAGAGTGTAGAAGAAATGTGGCAAGCTGGTTTTCAACAATCGTATTGTACTTCCAGTGACTGAAGGTCTAAGTCAAACATATATTGTATTGAGTGGGTGCACCAAATGTGTTGCTTGAACCAAGAACCGTTTGCTGGATTCTAGACTTCTGTGACTCTTCAGATTGGCAAGATTTTCTGGACATGCTGGGAGCTATGGGTTTTCTCCAGCAAACTGCTTGCAAGCCAAAAGAAAAGTGGAAAACGAACCGTGCTGTACATGTGTAGGCACAACTGCATAGCTGGCAGCAGCATTGGTTCTGCTGGAGCACCTACAGATACGCAGGTGTCCATGTGTTAGCAAAGGTTTTGAAATATTGTCTGCGGGGACAAAATTTTTCAATAACTTACCTCTTCTGTCCCTTGTGTCGTCTTGTGCTTTTACAACAAGTCTTAAAAGACAAGCTTTAACTTCTGCTTTAAATTTCCGTCCTATTTCTAATGTTCTGTTAATGTCTGTCTTCCGTAATTTCTTTCTCCGAATTCTGGTATACTTGTGTGAGACCTTTATGAATCTTACAAAATTATATGCTAATCATTCTCAAACTTTCAAAATGTTGTTCAGCTAATAATATTTCAGAATCACTGGCAGAGTCTGCAGCAGCCTATACTAAAGCAACAGCAAGGAAGTGTTTATTAGCGAAGGTAGAAGTGATTACTGGGGAGGAGGCTGAAAGCAACGTGTTACAGGTAAGAAACGGCTAAAGCAGAGGAGCTTTGAGTTCATGGGGATCCACGTGGCTGTCCAGTGCACACCACCTGAGTCCCTACAGCTCAGCCATCCTCCATGTGTCTAATGTACTTTCTTGTGTTAAAATGCAAACTTTGGATGTTTATTTTCAGATCCTTACTTTATTCAGAAAGAGAAAATTAAGAAACAACAAATTTTACTGTTTGGGCCATCCAGACAAATCTTAAGCATACTTTCCGGAATCCATCACGTAAAAGTTTCTACCTCCTACAAAACAACTATTTGAAGAAAATTTAAATGAACGAAATATTTTTAAGTTCTTCAATTATTGTGCTACTGAAGATTTTTTTAAAACTCAGAATGAACTATTATGCCAGCAATCTAGTTTCTTCTGCGTAGCAGAAACCATAAAACAGCACTCAGGAATTTGTCTTGAGGTACTTAATTGAATTAGTGACGTTTTAGAAGGACATTCGGTCATGACTTAGACTCCTGATTCTAATCGTGATTTATTTAACATTGTAGTTATTCATTAACTTAAATACACTTATTAACTTCAGTATGTCCTTAAGAAAAATGGGCAGGGTTTTCATGTAAAACTAAGTGGCATATATATTTTTTTTCTTCCTCTCTTTATCCTCCAATTATAGGTTTTTTTTCTTGAGATCCTGTAAGCTTCTCAGAACTTGACCTGCATTATTTTTTAATGCTAGCTTTTTGTCCCTGCAGACATGCTGGCCTATTCTGACACCAAAGAGACGCGCTGTGTCAGTAACTAATGCGGATCAGTTACACTTGTATTATCCTACAAAATAATAGTCTATAACGTTTGTCTTCTCAGACTTCTTTTTACCAGACGTGAACAGTCTTTAAATATCTGCTCTGGTACTTTTTCTATTTCTATACAATGCAGAAACTCCTGGATGCTTCACGTAATCGAACAAGACACTGGAGAGATGAAAGTCCTGTTTCGTTTAGGAAAACAACAACTTTTAGCAGTTGTATACTTAATAGAGGATGGATTTGTGTGAACATGTTGTGACTTAACAGACCTCTCACCCAACTTCTGTTCTTTTTTCCTATGAAATTTAACGCACTGGGATCCCGAGTGGGACTTGTACAGACAGAACTGTGAGAGTGTTGCAGAAATGGAGTATGCAGAGCTAGGTGTTCTGTGTTGGAGAAAATGAGAGAAATGGAGGGAAGGAGAAATGGAAATACGTTCTCCACCTAGTGCATGCAGATATCTGGGGAACTGGAGGGGTGACGGCTTGAAGTACGAAACCTTGGCAGTGACGATGAAGAGGGGGATATAAAGTAGAGATGTTAAGCAGGGCAGGAGAAAGGGAGCTTTTAGGGGCAGCAGGAACAGTCCTGCCCTTGGGAAGTCCAAGAGGTGTACTTTTTCAAACTGATGAACCAGGAGGGCAGGAGAAATACCTCTTGTTTATTCATGGCTTTGTGTGGGTCAGGCTTTATGAATGGATAATGAACTAACATGTTTGTTCATCCTTTCTTCCTTAATACAGGAAGAATTTTGCTTTTCTTTCATTGTGCTGGGTCATCCCAGCAACAAATACCACCTTCAGTGGTGCAAAGTGTACCTAAGACTTTTGAAAGAATTGACTGATTTAAGGCTATAGATGACTCTTACCTGGTCTCTTATCACAACAAGTTTCCTCTGTGCAAGTTTGTACCTTATCTGAAAATTGTTCTTGTTTTATCTTGAACACAGGTATTCTTTAAGAATATCTACATTCTGTTAATAAAACCTTAGGAAACCAGATAGCGTATTTTGAGGAATTTATTGCAAAATAGAGGGCGACTGCTTTGGTTTCCGCAGCTATAAACGGTTTAAAATTCCAGTATGAAATCTGAGGGCTTTTTAACCAGCTGTAGGTGACTAAATATGAAATATATTATTACTTCAATCAACCACTATGCTATAGAGATATTTTCTGTTACAGATTCAGTGCAAGCTGTTTGTATTTGATAAAAACTCTCAGTCTTGGGTGGAAAGAGGTCGAGGACTTCTGAGACTCAATGATATGGCCTCAACAGATGATGGAACATTACAGTCTCGGCTGGGTAAGAGGAGCCAGGGGAAATGACGTCCTGGATGATAGTGCTGTTCTTGTCGGATGCTTCCATGACATGCAGCAGCATCCACTTTAGGTTATGAATTAGCTACAGCAACTCAGAAAGCAGTTTGGACCTTTTCTCTTGCTTCAATTTATGAGCATCTCTTCCAAAGAGAGTATCTTTTGTTATCCTCCTGTTGTAGCAAATGTTCCAGTTACTTTCCACACCCCCCCCACCCCCTATCTCAGGTAGGGCCCTCCTGAGCTCTGGCCATCGGCTGGCGGTGCTCTCCCCCCCCCCCCCCCCCCCCCCACAGAGAGCTGTATTTAGCAACTAGAATATTTGACTAGAAATTTAGGGTAACGTTATTAAGATCTGGGCTCTTTGCTTTTTGGGGATGGGGTGCTTGAGGGGGGACGTCTCTTTGAATAGGGCACGATTGTTCAGACTGGCAGGAATGTGCTTTAGCCTGGGATTATCAGCTCAGATCCAACCACTGAACTTTGACGTATTAACATATAAGACTTTGGACTAAATATCTTTAGACGTGACTGATAATCTTTAAGAGCCTACGTTCTTCTGGTTAACAGTTGTGACAAGATTCCTGTTTTAAGGGCTTTCCCTTGATAGTCTTTGTAAAGAGACTTAAACACTCGCGCAATAAAAAGCCATCTGGGCTGTTTTGAGCTTCCTGTTGTGTCTTTTTCCACCTAACTGATTTGTATGTTGGCTTTAGTGATGAGGACTCAGGGGAGTCTCAGGTTAATCTTAAATACCAAGCTCTGGGCTCAGATGCAGATTGATAAAGCCAGTGAGAAGAGTATCCGGATCACCGCCATGGATACAGAGGACCAGGGAGTTAAAGTTTTTCTTATATCAGTGAGTACTGTTTTTTGTTTACATCTTAACCTTCCTACTAAAATTGGTGCTTGCTTAAGTTGTAGCTGAGGTAACATTCCCATTCTTCTTTGCGCCCTGCCTCCTCACCACCACCCCCTTCCCAAAGACAAGAGGCTTGGCAGACTTTGCTTGTCTGAAAAGCCTTACTAGTTGGGAAGAAATTCCACATAAAAGGCTGCTCTAGGAAGCCAGATTGTCCAAAGCATTGACCATGGTGTCATGGGATTTGTTCCACGCCTGTTAAGACTGTAACTGTAGTTTAAGAGTAACGCTAATCATTTTTTGTTATCAAGGGAAACAGATATTTCATAGATTTCTATGTAGTAGGTTAACCAAAATTAGATCTGCTGGAACTTGTAGCATGAGAAAGTTGTCCTTGTCTGTCTGCAGCGTGGGTGGATGTATAGGTGCTCGCTGGAAGTGAAACACTACATATCTGTCAAGAACATTGTGTTAGTAGCTAAGGGTAACACATTTTAACTTTGATTTTCTTTTAATACAGAGTATTCCAAGCAGTAGCAGGACAGTGAAAGTGATTTCTGTGCTTGCTAAGTGGGGAAACAGGAATCCCAATTAGAATAACTAAAACACTTGGGGGATTTTGATACAGTCAGCAAGAAAGAGAGGTCATTCTCTAATGTCTGCTGAGAGCGCTCACAGATTTTGAGAGGTCTGAACACATTCTTTTGACTTACACTGATTCTACGCGAGGGGTTACTAAGGAATTAAGTGTTCTTATGGATCAGAAATTAAGAGAACAGCAACAAACGGTCGGCTTCCCCTGTGGCACTGGGTTTGCAGGACTGGGATCTGGAGTCCCAGAGTGGAACTTAATGATACTGAATATCCACTGATGAAGAAAAAGCAGTGAAACTAATGGATGACTCTTCCTCAGTGTTTTTCTAGATTTCACAAGTTTGAGTTGGTCTGTCAACAAGTTGTTCACTATTTATTTTAGTATTGATAAAAAGTATCGTATATGGAATAGCTTATTCACTACAGCTCGTTGCAGGGGAATTCTGCAGATAGAGAGGTGACAGATTTAAGTGACAGATGAGGAGGATGGAAACAATTTTTTATGAAAAGAATCTGAGAAGTGGGATCATTACCTGACAGCTGACTTGGGGTAGCGGTAATAGTAGTTGATATGAGGTCTTCATTGCTATAGTGAAGACAGGGTTTCATAGTATTCAGAAGGGAGTTCCCTTTTAAATAATGTCCATTAACTACTTAGTTCAATAGGTCTAAAACTTGATTCTTTTGCAGGCATGAAGTCGCCATTAACCTTTGAGAGTAAAAAAAAAAAATATTCTTGGACAGGTTGTCACAAATGCTTCCTTCTAAAACAGCTGACCAGTATAAAAGAGAGTGTAAAAAAAAAAAAATAAATTTGAATAATCACTTGCCTGATTGCACATCCATTCAGTTTGCACATTATATCTTATGTTGAAATTTTAGGTCAGTGCATCATGAAACAATTAAGTGACTTGATTATGAGTAACTAATATGTGAAGTTGAGTGACGAACCTGGAAAAATCTGTGCAAGACAAACTTTTTAATTAAAGGTCTTTTTGGCGTGAGCTTTTGGGGGCGTCGGGAAAGCTGTGTGACTCGCGGGTGAAGAAGGTTATATAAAATCAGCCTTTATATAAAAGGTGAAGAAGGTTATATAAAATCAACCTTTATATAAAAGGTTATATACGTCCCGGTTATGTTAGCCAGAGAAAGTTGGCGCTGAGCAGAGAGGAATTTACTCTCGCCATCAGAATTTAGTATATCTAGCCTCTTGCTATGTATGCCACAGCCCATTCTGACCTAGTGTGAAAAACCCTACATGAGAAAACTGAAAAGTAGACTGTGAAATTTGGCATGACTGGGGTGTATTACGTCAGCAGTGGTTTAGTCTGTTATAATTCCTTGCACCTTTTTCTTGTTTCTGAACACTAAAAAAATGTAGGCAAGCTCTAAAGATACAGGGCAGTTGTATGCTGCATTACACCATCGGATCTTGGCCTTGCGGAGTAGAGTGGAACAAGAGCAAGAAGTCAAGAATGTAGCGCCAGAGCCAGAGGTAACGCAATCAAATGAGGAAGACAGTGATGATGATGTCATTGCGCCTTCAGGATCAGTTGGAAGCGGTAAGCAAGAAAGACAACGGAGTGTCCTGTTTGCCATACATTCTTCTCTGTTCTGGAAGGCAGACTGTCCTCTCTGTAACTGTACATTATAGATGTACGTCTGGCCTGTTACTTCTCACAGGTGTTTGTGGAATAGGACTCGTTGCATGAATTGCCTTTTTGAACGCAACTGTTTCTTGGTACTTCTTCAAACTGATTAAAAAGGCCCTTGTGCTGCTTCTCTCTGAGTTACGTGTCGTAGTTTAGCAGATGTTACCTGTGCTTCAATTAGTTCTAGTTTTGTTTACAGGATTTTTAAGGGGTGGTTGTGAGTTTCATCTTTGCCTTCACATGGCCAAGGCTTGCACGTAAAACCCGAGGTGACTCTCTTGGGCTACTTTCAGCAGGCAGGATCCGGACTGACCCTTGAGTAGAGTGCTATATGGAAAGCAGAAGGTTTACAAAGGGGCATAGAAAGTTTTTAAGAGTGTAATTCATTTCATTTTACAGGAGGAGACCATAAGTTAAGAAAAGCACTAGTCTTCAGTTTGAGGAAGGCTTCCGTCTGTACTCCTGACTTGGGAGTTGTCTGTGCTTTTTGCTTAGAACATCCAGCCTTTGACAGAGACCGGTCCTCCATCCTGATTCACTGCAGGGAGAAAAGGAAGAATGAATATGAACAAAAGCAGTGGGTGGATTGCAGAGGCTGGAAACTGAGCTTTTAGGCTCTGGGATGCTAGTGGGATCTCCGAACCAGATAAGTCAAGAACATAAAATTCCGCAGTGGACAGAACTTAATCTGGAGAAGGAAGATGTGAGGCAGGGAGAGGGGGAACTCTGCAGCTCTCATCTGGCATGGAAATCCTAAATCTGAGACTTCTGTAGGCTTCTCGGGTAGGGTCTCTTATTGTAAGGCAAGAAACCAGGTATTTCTTATGACAAAGAACTATTTTCTTCGTTTCAGGTCCTAATGATGAAGGTGACGGGCAGAACGTTGGCAGCACATAGCAGATGTGAGCCGGTCTGCTTGCAAGGCTGCTATGAACACCATCTTGCAGGCATCTCTGGATACCCCAGGCCAGCTATTATTTCAGGCAGTGTTGAAGGCTCCAGGACTTAAGAACTGTGCATCCCTGTTCTGTTTGTTTGGTTTTTTGGTCTGGATCAGTAGATTCCACACAAAAAAAGCAGACTTGGAAACTACCTGAATGTGGTTTGGGACGTGAAAGCTCATCATATTGATGAGCCAAAAAAAAAACAAAACAAAACAAAAAAAAAAAAACCAAACATTTCCCCTCTTCCTTGTAATTGAAATGGCACATTACAGCTTGTCACAGCTTTTCATTGGGACCTTTTGACTGTTTCTTCAGTAGTTCATGTCTTGCAGGCCTCCGAGATAGAACTTTCCGACACGGTTCCAACTCGAATTCTGCTTTCGTAACCCCTACTCCCCCTTAAGAGTTTCTGCCACCTGCAGGGAAACCGGGTCCTCACCAGTTCCTACGCTCACTGACTGCCCTGTTGGGTTCATTCTCTTTTTGGACTGCAGATGGGGCAGATTATGTTTTTACCTTTTAATCCCAACGTAGGTTGTGGACACCGTTGTTCCCTGTCTAGTGGGTTTGTAAACAGAGAGAAACAAAACATTGTGGTTCACCAGAAAAGCTTTTTTAATGCGGTAATAAGAGACTTCAAAGTCCACAGGACGTTTTGCTAACTCCTTTTCTTTCTTCCCATTTCATTATTATTATTTGGGGATTTATATTGTGGTGATACTTTTTTATTTTAGTTTTTCAATAAGATGCTCTTGTGTGTTGAAAAAGTGAAACTATTGTTTTGTACTGTTCTTTTCTGTTACTATTTAAGGGAGAGCTAAGCCACTATATATAATAGATGTTGCATACAATTTTTCTTAGAAAATTATATGTTTCTGTGGCTACAGTAAAGTGTAGGAGGCATACAGGTTACACCTTCGGAAAAGTTGATGAGGAAACAGCTGTTAGCCCTTGGAAGAATAAAATAGGCTCATGTAATGAGCTCCGTCAGCCATTAAAATAAACCTGTAAAATAAAGCAGCTCTCATTTAATGGCTTGATTCAACAAGCCATTTAAGCACTTGCCTGACTTAACTACATGTGAATAATCTTACTGAGGTCAATGCAACTATTCACGCTTAAAGTTGAGTACATTTTTAAATATCTTGCTGAATTAACGGCCTTAAATAGAAAATTAACTTCTAACCCTTCCTGTCCCTGTTCTGTTTCCTGAAGTCTTGCAGCATGAAGAAAAAGGTAATATTGCCAGCTTTGAGTAGTTTGGGCTGAAGGATATTGTATTCTGTTCCACCAAAATAAAAGCCAGAATGTGTTTTCCTGTGTGTAATTCTGAAGTACTCCTACTGTAACCATAACTCACTCTTTGCTTTGGATGTTTTCTAATTATTTGGGCCTTTTGTGTGAAAGTTGAGTTTTATTTTGTTATTAAAACATATGGTATATTCTTGTCCAGCAAAGTTGGAATTTGGTAGTCACGGAGAACAGTGACCAGGTCACTTTCCCTGTAAATTCCCCAAACTGTTCTCTTGCCTTTATAAAGAGTGTACTAATAGATAATTTCTCACTTGCTCTTTCTCCTGTAGGTTAAGGAGGTCTAAAATGCACCATTTAAAAGAAAATTAAAGGGGAAGAAGCATTTAATGTAGCCTGAATTGGAAATGAAAACCCAGGTTGTAGCACAAAAGCAACTTTGAAATTATTCAAATAGCAAAACAGTCCTTATTGCCTCTGTTGAACGGAACACGCTTTTCTTCACTGGGAGTCAAGAACCTGTTTTTACCTGTTGTCCGTTGTCAACCGCTGTTGGAGACTGAAGCTGTTGGGACGGGGGGGTGCTTGGCTTTACCAGGTAGCCCGCTGAAGGAACATCTGGGATGACTTTTCGGGGGAGTGAAAAGGGCTGATGATTAGCTGTGCCGCTGCATTTGTGATTTCTCTGGATTGTCTGCTCATGCCTTTTTGCGTTTTGGGGTTTTTTTCCTCCTTAGAGTATGGGGTTTTTTAACCATGCACAAACCTATCGACGCACCCCTTCTCATGCAGCTCACTGACAGAAGCGTAGCCTCTCTTAATACCCACCCACACGATTGTTTCTGCATCACAAGGTCTGGGGAACTTCTGTATTTTCAAATAAATGATCTGCATTTTGGATCTTGGATCTTTTTACACTGAGATACTCAGATTTAAACTACTCTTCTCAAGCAACCTTGCAGCATAAAGCTGCTTGTTGTCAGCATAAAGAAAATAATGCGGTGCCTGGGTCAGCAGGGCCGACTTGTGGAGAAGCAGGTGCTGTTCCTGGTCCCAGACGCCACGGGGCCTCTGCAGAGTCTCGCTCTCAGGTGCTTTACCTAAAATGAAATGGATGGCGCGTGAAGACTCAGAAAAATGGAAGAAACGTGCTTGCTTTGATGGGGTTTAGTGGTGGTACACAATCGCCTACAGCATTCTAAAAAAATCTGGCAACTCTTTACTGATACAAATTTGAGTTCAGCTGGAAGCTTTGCATATATGTTTATAGCAAAGAGGCAAATAGTAGTGTGAGCTACTAACGGAATTGGCCACAGATGGAGTTCAGGCCCTACCCAGCAAGATGTAGTTGGGCCAAAGCAAAACTTATTTCACTCTCTGCTTTAAGCCTTAGTAACCTAGTGACAGGTAAAACCAGATCATGCCCGTGAAAGATTTCTGTAAGGCTGTCATCTCAAAACGTATGTGGGAACTACACGAAAGCTTTTACCGGAAAACAAGCAAACAGAATGCCCCCAGCCCTGCGGCGTGTTTCCCGTGCTGGGCAAGGGCTGGTAGCGGGAGGCTGGCGATGACCACGTTCGCCTTCTTACAACCTTCTCCTTGCACCGCGTCTTTGCTCTTAGGTCTGTTGTTAACATAGGGATGTTGTTAGCGGTTGCTGTGTGTCTTGTTCTGGCTGCTGACTGATGCGGGCACAGCCCTTCAGGTTTTTCCCAGGAGAAAAAAGGATATTGAGAAGTGTAATAAAGTTGAGCACATCTGATGGGGAAAATGTTGCGAGAATGGTAGTGTTACTAAAAGCAGAAGTAGAACTCTTATCCATAAAATTAAAAATAAGATTACACCCGCAGGAAATAGAAACATTAAGGTAAGAAAACGTGGAGTCACAGCATCTTTCTGTAGTCCCGTTCCCAGTGCATGATGTGCTACTTCAGAGAAGACAGGGCAGGGAGAGATCTAAATAAGCTCCGGTCCTCAGCAGTCTTCCACTGAACGCAGGCTGGGCAGATGTCCAGACCGTTAGAAGCCTGCAGGAATAAAAAACCTCCAACTCTGTAACGAGTCCCCCCTGTTCCCAGCCACTGAGCAATTCCACGGCTTGGGTATCGCTGCCGGTAAATGGCTGCTGCTGCTGCGTCCCCCTCTGCAGTTTGGCTGGCCTCTTGTTCTCCCGGTGAGTGTAGAAAATGGTTTCTTTCCTTTCTAGAAACATGTTACATATTTGAAAATTTACCATGTTTCCCCATAACCTTCTCTAGTTTTAGGAATTCCAATTATGATAATTGCCATAATTTGTCATGCAAGATTTCATTAAACTGACTTTTCACTGTGCGCTTTTCTCCCCGTGTCCTTTGGTCTTTCTGTGCACTGACTTGCTTCAACTGAACTCGAGTCCATTATGTGGGTAGCAGATAAATTCAGACAGAATGTTATAAAGGCATTTTAATTTTCCAGCGTCATTTTTTTTCCCCCTGTGAAGATGAGCACAGAGCAACAGAGGTGCTAAGAGAGAATTGCTAAACTAGACTCTTTGAGTCAGCCTTAACTCCCGTCTCCTAGGTTATGGTACAGGTATCTTGCAAAGAAATGCTCAAAGATAATTTCTGTAAATAAAAGTCTCTCGTTTAAAGATAGGATTCAGAGTTCCCCTTCGACTACCTCATTTCGAGGGCTTAAAGATAAGAAAGCTGAATTGGTCATCAAGAACGCTGGTAATTCTGTTGCTGGAGGAGGGCAGTGAACGCCTTCCCTAAGGATACCTGTGAACTGAACGTGGGGTGTATTTTAAACGAGCCACCCCGGTCGAATTCTGGTAGCTCACCTTCAGCTTCTAATGAAACGTCGGAAAAGCAAAGTAGTGATGTCGTATCTGATGTCCTCCTCCTGCTGTTTTTTCCTGCTGAAGGGAGCAGGAGGGATCAGTGAAGCCCCCCGCTGCTGGTGACGCTCATCTGAGCGGTCCGTGTGAGGCCTCCGTCCGTGCTAATTGCACACATGGGAGATGCTTTTCATACTGACCGCTGGAAAGTAGCTCCCTAATTGTAGGCGGTTTGGCGGGCCAGATGCAATTCCTGGTCTGGAGAGTTCAGAGCGCGAGTTTAGCTGCAGGTAGGAGGTCTGTTGAATAGGGCCACACAAAAAGCTCCCCGAAGTACTTAAAGGGAGCTCTGAGGAAGATGGAGACTCCCTTCTCACAAGGAGTCCCATGGTGAGGACGAGGGGTAACGGGTACAAGTTACTCCCAGGGAGATGCCGATTGGACACGAGAGGTGAATTTTTCACAATGAGAACAGTCAACCACTGGAATAATCTCCCCAGGGAAGGGGTTGACTCCGCTACGCTGAACACGTTTCAGACTCAGCTGGACGTGGTGCTGGGCCACCTCGTCTGGACTGTGCTCTCGCCTAGAAAGGTTGGACCCACTGATCCTTGAGGTCCCTTCCAACCTGGGATGCTGTGAAGAGGGGAAGATGGGCAAATGTTTTTCCGTGTCACCTGCTGGTGGGTGGGTCTGTCCTCGTGTCTGAAAAAAGTTTCAGAGGTAGAAAGAAACCAAGTTATTTGCAGCTTGTAGTACGATGGCAACTCACCCCCCCCATCTAACAGCTAAGGGAAGGAATACTCTGTATTAGCTGACTGGTTTGTAGCCACAGTTAACCATCAATTATTTGAAGTTAGATGTTTTAAGAGTAATGTTACTTACTTAGGTCGATTTATATGTTGCTTTCCCTGGAACTTTCCTGTTCCTAGTAAGATCACAGTTACATCTCACTGTAAGAGCTGTCCAACGAGCACTAATTGCCTAGGAAGCGCGTTACAGCGTTCAGGAGCCTGACAGGCCTCTGAAAAATCAACCACAGCCGCAGCGTGCCAGTACCTGCGGTTAACTGCGCTCTGCAGGGACGGCAGGTTGGCAGCTGCGCACGCCGGCTGCCTT